TTAAAAAAAAATCTTTTAAGAACTCTTCATTTTCCATTTCAAATAGAAAAAGAAAGAAGTTTTATAGACTCATTACCTTTCTAGGCCAAGTTCTTTCATTTTCTGAGCCATTTCATTTCCTTGGAGTGATTCTTTAGCAATCATAACCATCTTCACCTCATCTTCAACGTTCAGCTTAGGGATTAAGTTTTTATTAGTTCCATTGACCACCCTTTCGCCTGCTATGCTGTCACCTATGTTGAATGCTCTTTCCATGATTCTTCCTTGTCGTTGTCCATTAACATAAGCTGTCCTTTCAATGAATTCGTAATTAAAAAGAGTGCAGCCTAATGAATCTCATTTGGTAAGCTATATATGAATAAAACCCACCTGTTGATACATGGAGGAAGAGTTTGAGCTTCTGGCATTGTTTAGCAAACTTCATTAGGCGATTAGTCCCCTCCGTGTTTATATCTAGAGCAACATCATATCTGAAAAATCATTAAATTAACTTTCTAGTGAAACAAAATAATCAGAAGCAGGACTCTTCAAATAAATAAAAGGGATTTTTCCTAAATGTTACTCTATACTAATTAAATATCCATTATAAATTTTTTATTATATTTTATTTTATTTTATTTTATTTTAGGACATAAATGCTACCAACACACTAACCCAAGAGGCACTGGCCAAATGCCTGTTACTAATTTAATTGGTCATGAGTCATTACCAGTTGAATGTTTATTTCTAATGTTTCAAATTAACATTTTCTTTTTCCATAGGTAGTTACTGAGTAGTAATACTTTATCAAGTTATTCTATACATAAATAAATCCCATTATTGACCTTTCATCAAAAGTTGTATTAGCTGCAGAGTTGACTATGACGTCGACCTCATTGGCGATCATCTCAGCTGTGTGTTCATCCATTCCAAGCCCAGAGTCACACACGTTCCCGACGACAGGGACCAACTTGTTCAGCATGAAAGCTTGGTATGATTTTCCATATGTTTGTTTCAGAAACATGAAGAGTTCAGCACTCATGATCTATATAAAATGCATACGTCAATGATGTAAGCCAGAACAATCGAAAAAAGAAGAAAGGCAAACAGATGTATGTATGAAAAGAAGAAATGGCCTGGGAGGGAAGGGTGTTCCTTGAGCGTACTTCTTTTTTCAATCTCTCCATAGCGACTTCTTTATTCTCTGCCTTGATCAAGATGAATATCTTATGCACATCAGGCACTGTCCTCAGTATCTTCTCAATTAGAACTGATAATGAGATGAAGAAACATGGGAATTTCAGTACATGTCATGAATGTATCAGAAGATGGGAAGCACAAAGTCAAGATGTATGAACATGTTAAGGTTTGATTAGCAACGTTTCTTGTTTTCGTTCTTCGTTTTGTATTGAATTTTTCTTATTTGTTTATGTCAAGTATCCCATATTGGATGTCTACCATATCTAATCTAATACCCAAGTGTTACGTAAACTACATGTTATCTTGAGGGTCCTTTTGGGCGAGTTTAATCCTAATTTAATATGGTAACAGAGTAAAACTATGATCCAGATTCCTTAATTTTGTTTGCTGACACTCATAGTGTGAGTAACATGAATGGGGTCTGTTTGGCCAAACTATCCAACCCTCAAGTTGTGTAGCTTCTTAGGGCTGCTGGGACGTTTTAAGTATCCGACAACCACGTCCAATGTTTACCTGATCTATAATCCAGATTCCAGACTGGTTGGCTACACCTTTTAATGATGTTTTGGATCAGTTAGGCCTACTTTAATAGTTTACAAAAATATACAATATTCAGTTGTGTTTCCAGAAATCGGAGAGAAAGCAATGCAGTCAAACACATAACATTGTTTTTGTTTTAAAAAGTGAGAATTAAATTAGAAAATAGAAAACCAAAACGTAACCAAACAGAAACCTAAATTGTTCAAGATGATAATTAATTAAGTAATTAATTACCTTTTCCTAGAAAACCAGTTCCACCGGTGACGAGGAATGATTTTCCACGGATGAACTTCACAATGCCGATGCCATCATCATGCTTCTCAACGAGAGGTGTCGAACTCCCACCACCAAAAGGAACCAAATCCTTCATCCCAACATCTGTCTGCTGGACGTTCCCGTTTGGCGCCAGAATCAAAGTACCTGCAGCCTCCATTAGTGCTGCCTTGCTTCCCTGTTCGGAGACAGCCCTCTCTGTTACAACAGATGACATGTTACTAGATTTCACAACGTTGTTCCCACTGCCACCCTGGCAATATACCATGTTCTTGACCCTCAATGCTGGCAGGTATACTTCTTGGTTTCTGATCAAGAAACAAGCTTTATTTCTGGGAACAATGAAGGAGGAAGAAGAAGAAGAAAGAGAAAGATAAAGAGCCTCCATTTTTGCAGAGGGGAAAAAGAGTGAAAGGAAAATGAGGAGACTAATGCAATAGACAAACAGCTAGCTAACCACCCACTACTTTTTTCCTAATTTTTTTAATTTTTTTGGGAAAAAGAAAGTAAAAAACAAGTTAACAAACTTGAATCCATTAATCTATCATGAAAGTTTGGTTAGATTTAAGAAGGAGATAAAGAGTGAGAAGAAGCAAGAGTGTTTGGTTGGGGCTTTAAAAGGGGGAGGTAAGGGAGATGAAAGTTAGGAAGATAGCCTGAAGCTCTCTTTTTGCCACCCCCTTCACACCATTCTAACTAACGGCTAAGATGACGCGTCAGTTTTTTTAATTAATAATTTGAGATTTATTTTCATGTGGTTATTCAACTTTCTAGCAATGGGGTAGCAAAATTCGATAATTTTAAATCTTTTTCAGATTAATTTGAAATGTTCACCTCTCAAATCCTTGACCTGTGAATTGTGAGTCTTGTGACCAACGGACTACGGTGCATATGAGTTTCTGAAACTAGAAACCTTTGTAACAATTCTTTTCAAATCTTGACTATGTATTGGTGCAAAAGAAATAATGTTTTAGTAATTTTCTTCAAATATGTGTTTTAGTGTGACGTTAAGATGAACCTAACCTATCACACACATATCAATACCAAAACAAATCAATCCAAATTAAATTTTGTAGTGCTACAAAGAGACTACAACTTTTATCTTCTAGCTTTTTATACTCTTTTATCTTTTTATCTTTTATCTTTCTTATATTCTTATGCTATTTTTATTTTATACTCCGTATTTATTTATCTTTATTTTATCCGTTTTATTTTACTTTTTTTTCCTTTTCTTTTTCTTCTTCGTGTTTGTCTTCTCTTTTTGACATCAATATCATGGATTAATTCATGTTAGTCGACCCCAAAATCTTTTGGGATTAAAGATTGGATGTTGTTGTTACAAAGAGACTACAACTACTTAGATTTAATCTAAGCAGTTATAGTCTCTTTGTAAGTATTTTAAATATTGTAAATGACTATCCCTAATATTATTACTTTCAGTAAGGGTGTGTTTGGGATTTGGTTCTTGGGAGGGTGGGGAGAACATTTGAGGGTTGATGACCCTCCTATTTGAGTTACGTTTGAGAGTTTAAATAATATTGAGGAATGATTTTGGAAGGTTTTTGTGACATTCCTAAATCATTCAAATGCTCAATCTTTTATTTTACTAAGTTGTGAGTTATTTTAAAATATTTAATTTCGTATCTAAAAAAATATCTAATTTCATATCTAAAAATATTTAAATCCTTCATACTCCTTCCGTCTCGAAATAACTTTCCTACTTTCCTTTTCGGTTCGTCCAAAAAATAATTGTCTGCTTTCCTCTTTTAACTTGTGCTAAAGCAAACAAGAAGTTTATTTTGGGACGGAGAGAGTATTTGTTATAGGTTTTTATTTTTAATTGAATATCTCGAATTAGTTTTTTATTATATTTTATATTTATTTATTTGAGAAAGAAGCAATATATATTATCATCCGTTTATTTCTACTTTGACTACACTTTATTTATTAATATATGATAATTATTTTTTTTTGAAAACTATTATTGAATTCGTCTCATGAAAATAATATTATTGAATTCGTAGTATAATTTTTAATTTTTTTACCAAACGGAATTAAATATAATGACGGTCATAGTTGCACGTTGGCAAACGTGAAAATGGAAATGTTGCAACTAAAAAAGAACGGAGGAATTGAAGTTTATGTATTTAACTATTTATTAAGGATAGCATGTAACAAGTGAACAATGTGGTGGAATGGTGTGAATTTATTTCATGAACACATGGTCTCTGGTGAATGATGCGGAAGATAATGTCACTATGTTATTAGAGATTAATTCAGACTAATTCATATAATCACACATGGTCCCTTGATATTAGAGATTCTAGAGGAGGAAATTGTACAGACACATTCATATAATCAAATCATCATCATCAACCCCCACCTATGGTAGGGTAAGGGGGATCGGATGTACGCAGTCTTACCCTTGTACCAAAGCACAAAGAGACTCTTTCAGTTGACTTATAGTGAAAATCGTGTCCAAATTTGCATGGACTAGTTGTTTCATAATAAAGAAGCTTAGACATTTTAGAGAGTCATTTTGCTTTATTTCATCATATTACTAAATAAAAAAAATAGTGAGTCATTGGCTCCATACAATCAAATGTGAAAGTACTTTTATAAAGAGGCAGAAGTGAAGCTAGGCAAGCGGATTACAGAGACTGAAGCCATAAGGGTTCGGGTAGCTATTAACGGTGCAATTCAGAAAGGGTGACAAAAAGTGGATGCGAAACGAATGCACTATTAGTGGTTCAGGGGTTTCAAAGTTCAAGAGGTCTAGCATATATAGATTTAATTTTGGATGACATTAGTTCTTCTACCGGAATGAGATAATTTCTCTCTCTTTTTATAAGCATTCTACGAATCGTGTTGCTCATTAGCTCATGCTTTAGCAGGGTAGGCTTTTCTAAGCCACGATGTAGTTTTGATTATGAACACAGAACTGACATGAGGATGTATCGGTAGTCTGATGTTGAACAATTTGATTGAATAATGAGATGAACTATTTATAACAAAAAAAGGATTACATTTGAAAATGTGTTTACACTACAAAAGAAAGGTTAAAGGCTTATTCTTAAAATTTCTGTCTCAGGCCCAACACATTATAGGACCACCAAAGATCATAGCCTATATATACACTTTTAGAAAAATAAGAAAATTGTCATCTTTTATAGTCGACAACTTCAAGTTAGTGTCTCTAAGAATAACTTGTTATTGACGCAATGGGCATCTCCAATGAACATTTTCATCGAGACAGCCTCTCTGGAGTTCTTCAGGAGGGATGAAGGAGTCTACAGAAAGGCCGGGGACGTTAAACGCCAAATCATCAATGGTGTATGTTTCTTGCATACGAACCGTGACAGGACCGGGCTTCAAATGGTCTCCGAATGTTGTAATAATGACACTTGAGTAGCCAGAATGAGCAACCATCACTCCCTCGGCAGGCCGGTAATCCTCTATCCTTGTGCACATTGCGGTTTCCCAGTATGTCGCCAAAGAACCCGGGGACTGGATTCGGGTGAGGTATGAATCCTCCAAGTAAATGAGCAGACCGCTTCTTTGGCTGAAGTAACCGAGCATTACGTGTTTTATCATCTCCGCCGTGTTATCGCTACGCTCAACGAGGTCCGTGCGGCTGGAGGATAATTTCAAGACAAAGCAGTCAACTCCCAATATATGTTTTTCTCCCATGTACTCTGCCTTTGAGAACACAGCTGAAATAGCCATAGGATCAAGCCCCTGCCAAGTAAAATTAAGCTATTTCAGTCCATGTGGCCAAACTGGAAGCCCGTTTGTGTCGTCTTAAAAGTTAAAATGGATGAATGTTGTGAAATGTTGAATTAGTGGCTGAAAATGGTTAGTCTCTTCTACACATACCTCAATCATACAGTTTTAACTTTTCTTATTCCACATCTAATTCGATATTGGCAATGTCGAATAGGACAGAAGTGTTTTTGGTAATAGGCTTGGTAAACAACTTCAGATTAAACAGCTCAAACAGGCCAAACTCAAGCCAAAAAATTGAAGTCTTTAATAGATAGCAAGTCATAAGGTTTATGCCTAACAACAACCACTATAAAATAAGCTTACCATGACCTGTTTTCCAAATCATTTCTCCACAAAAGTGACCAAAGTCACCAAACGGTCTCTATTTTATTTATATATATTAAGATTCTTAAGGTTTATTTGTGGAAAGAAAGGAAAGAGTATAGCAGTTGTGTGAGTAGCTTTCCTGGAGAGCGCGGCGAAGAGGGCGGACACCGCCTTTAGCAGCGTGAGCTCCGAGCCAAGGAGTGTGACGCCATGCGACATTGCCATCACTGCCTGCTACAATTTTGTGACCACCCAAAGCAAGCTCAATGAGCCACTTGCTAGGAAGCATTTGCCACATAACAAAGCAACCCTTTTGTGAAACATTGGTGGTGGTGCCTGGTGAGCCAAGCTCATCCACCACTGCCATGAAAACTTTTCCGGTAGTATACATGTTTTTTACCATCCCTTCAAGCTTCCGGCAGCCAGTAGCAGCCATGAAGTGTTGTATAATGTATTCTGATGATGATGAGACCTGTTGTCAAGTATGTCAATACTCAATAGTGGTCAACTGGTCATGTTACCAATATCTCAATCCATCAGCTAGTGTCTCATGATATTTTCCATGCATGTCAAAAACTATAAATGATTTACATATGAATATAAGATAATGACACCAAGAATCTACTACAAATAGAAGTTAAACATGGATTTATATGCATAAAGCCAGGATCATCTTTTTTACCAACAGAAATGATTCCCAATTTGATTTGACACGCCTATTAAGAAAATGTGAATAAAGTAGAAATGTGTGGTTATTATTGACTAAGAAAAACGTAAATGAATGCTACACACAAATCATTAAATGAAGTTACACGGAAATGAGAATTTTTTTGAGACAGCCCAAAAAGGTAAGCAGGGTAGTACTTTATGTCATCATACCTTCATGGACTCATCAAGTGAAGTGTAATTATTTTTTTAAACCTTTATCTACATGGAATTATCTGTTTTGTATAATTATATCTTATCAGGCCATGCACCTTTCAATAAAATTTTAAGTTACATGAATCATGAATTATAATCAACTATCTAATTGTTAAGTTACACTTTCAATTTGTTTAACAAGGTTTATTGTAGTCAGAGAAGTACTGTTTTATAATTTTTGAATGATATCTTTGAATGTATGAAATTAGTGATTTGAATTGTATATTGTGATGTACTGATGTGTGCATACAATATTGTACTTATTGTACAATATCTTAAATGCATTCAATTACTCATGCTAGAATATTTGAAATTTTAGTACCATCAAACAGTGTGTTTACAGAAAGATTGGAAACTGAATTAAGTCAACTCAACTTTTAATATGAAGTATAAACTTAATATATGGGTTATATTTCAATTTTTGTTATAATTTTTCAATTATAAACTCAAAATTGTGTTATATTGAACTTTATAGGTGCATTATTTTTAATATTTGATTATTAAGTTGTCATATAAAATTGCTAGCTACTAATATTTAATAAAACAGTCAGAATTCTTTAGAGGAGACGTTCAAAAGAAGCAAGCGAAAAATCTTTACTTGGGATGAAAGGTGTAACTTTTTATATATACTAGTGAACGAAAACTTTTTTATATATTAAATGAATAAGTTTTTTTTTCTATTTTTTGTTCAAATCAAGATATTAGTAACATTAACCTTCATGATAATATTCAACTAAACTATTTTGATTTAGGTCTCTTTAGGTTAGAACTTGTTTTAAATATTATTCACAAGTATAAAATTATACTCCGTATTCAAAAACTTAAATTGAATGAGGGACTAAAGTATCCAATAAATGTGTGTAAAACAAACAGGCACTTTTAAATAGGGACGGGGGAGTACATATGTTTGCATATGTAGTATATGTGCAAACTTTCACCTACACATTTATTAGATACTTTTTTTTTCTCAGTAAAAAATAGTATCTAATAAAGGTGAAAGTTTGCACATGTACTACATATTATACTCCCTCCGTCCCTATTTAAAAGTGCCTATTTGTTTTACACACAATTAAAGAAAAGGACACTGTTTAGTACCGTTTTAACACGATTTGACATTGTTTGGTACTGTTTTGTTTACCAAATAAGGAAGTGAGATTTTTTTTGGGACGACATGAAAATAAAAGTGAGATGCTTTTTTAGTGACGGAGGAAACGTGTATGTAATGATTTTTTTGAAGTTTTAAGAGAGGTGGTCGCTTCCCCCCCTGAAATTCATCCCTGATAGGCAAAGTTACTTCTACGGTTCTACCAAATTAGGAATGGACCTGACATAGCAGTATCATACTCATGGCCAACCCTCCTACATAACTATCTAGTTACTCCCTCCGTCCCTAATACCTTTGCCAAGTTTGACCGACACGAGGATTAATAAAGTAAAAACTGTGTGGTTGAGGTTTGTGCAGAGGAGAGAGAATTAACTGGAACCACAAATTCTTTACTTAAATGGGAAAATGGCAAAGTTAATGGGACATCCAAAAAAGGAAAGTTGGCAAAATTATAAGGGACGGAGGGAGTATAACTGTATTAATTTTATTCACACACTAACCTGAGTTACTGTGCACCATACACAGAAGTCTAGGGTATATAAATGCCTGTGCAGTGTGAAACCTAACACTACCTTTACCCACACTAAATGTAAAGTACAGACATCTTCCATGTGCAACTAACCCCCGCTAACATCGCATGTCTGTAACTAGGGGCTATTTATTCCTCTCTTCTCCCATCGTATAATTAGTCAAAAGCTTTAATCAATATATGTTGCTACCTTTTTTGACATTATTAATTACTATTGTACTAGACGACAACCTTTAGGGTAATGACCCTCGAACAAAGCAGGGTTACATGCCCCATTGCAATTATGAATATACCCTTTAGTCCTTTACTTTAACTACTTGTCTACTTGTCAGTTTGTTTAATGTTGAGAGTAAGCTGTTGAGAGCTTTATGTTCTTTTATTTTATAGAGTCAACGAGTTATCCTTCGAATAGTCTCGCCTTTTCGTTATTCATGAATAATCCAACCTTTGCACCTCATCTTCATTGACTGGTCCCTAACCGGTTGATAACCTGCTATTCCAAGTTATTTTCTTATCTTTGCAAACCATTATACCATAAATCTCACTTTCACAAAGATAATGCAAAGATAAGAAAATAACTTGGAATAGCAGGTCATTAACAGATCAGGGACCAGCTAATGAAGATGGGGTGCAAAGGTTGAATTATTCTTGAACAACGAAAAGGTGGGACTATTGTAAGAACACTCCTAAAAGGTTGGATTATTAGTTTCCATATTCTTGAATTCGTCTTTATCCGTATTGCCTTCAAAGACGAATTTAGCAAGATTTACATCACTTATGTCCAGACTGACGTTCATCCCATCACATGAACCAACTAGCTCTATTACCGTCACATGTTTGGTTACCTTTTTTTACAAGTCGCGTTTGGTTACCTAGAAAACCTTCTGTGCTGAAATAATTGTCTGGTTTCCCTTTTTGGGATGTCCCAAAATAATTGTCTTGTTTTCTCTTTTGGCAACAATGTGTGGCTCAAATCAATTCACCTTTTTCCTACTCGAATCTCACTCATAACTTTTACCTTTTCAGCCACTTTCTTAAAACTTGTGCTAAAGCAAACAAGACAATTTCAAATCTTCCCTAAATAGCCCCAAAAATTAATTTTCTACATTTAATACCCCTAATCTAATTAATTAATTGCCCCTAGTTCTTTTGGGCAACTGAGTCAATCCGTTGGTAGTGGGCTGTCCGGTGATGGCGGCGGCAGAGGCGACTGCCGTTGGAAGAGCTCCGGTGGGCGGTGTCTGACAACGATGGCAGGCAGACTAGGCAAAAAAATCGGATTTTTTTGTTCTGTTGAAGCTCTGGCGACTGGAGACGAGAGTGGCAATTGGAGAACGACATCGTGAATCTCGGCGGCGGCAGCAGTCGGCGGAGCTTTGGTGGCTGCAAGTGGCAGTGGGTACTGGGTAGCTAGGGTTTAATACCTTCAAAGGTATTTTTTCCCAATAAGAAAAAACTTTTCTATTTGGGGAATTTTAAAACCCTACTCCTATTTTTGCACATCTCACATGTTTACTCCTATTTGGGTAATTAACCCATAACTCAAATCAATATTATTGATTTAGTCTTGTAACATTGATTTTATTCACTTTTAGTAATGTAACTTTACTTAGGATTTTTTACTTGGATTGAAATTTGTTGATCTGGTCTGGTCTGTTTAAGTTTGATCTGGTCTGATCAGCTAAATGTCTGGTCTCTGTGCATTTTATAATTGTGGAAGTCTGGTCTGGTCTGACCTAATCTATTTAAATCTTGTATGGTCTATTATGATCTGTTATGGTCCGATTAGGTCCGGGACAAAAAAACATCCTGAGTTGCAAATGTAGTATGTTAGTAATAAAGTTGTCTTTAGCAAGGACCTTTCCTCCCGAAAATCGAATCGGATACTTACCAAAACTGACCCATTATGGGTGGTTCGATTTATGACTTTGAATTTGAGAATCGATTCAATTGACAAAATCTAACCAACATATACGAAAACCGTTCAAAACTATAATAGATCAATCGAAATTAAAATGGACTCAAATGGTATAGTTTAATTCTGGAGAGGATTTAAATTGAGCTTTGAGTCCCATAATTTAAATAATTTCATAGGTTCAACTAGTGTTGCCAAACACAAATTGTATGAGTGTCAACATTTATTTGTAGACTATGCCTAGAGGGCATCAATGCTGAACGACCTTTACAGCCGCATCTTTACCACACATCCGTGAAAGAAAGCGTAAAATTCCAACCAGTTACAGCAAAGTCAGCAAGAAAACTACAGGTCAGGAATGTGATATCCACCAAGTCATAGTTTATTTTTAAACTTAAAAGTAAAAAAACAGAAGCTACCAAATTTTGTTGCTTATAACCACTGGTAGGTACTGATGGTTACTCCTCATGAGCAACATGGTCCAGACTCTTGGGCCCAGGCCCAACAAAAAAATCAAACCGTAAAGACATTGCCCAAATAAAATTTAGCCATGTAAAATAACGGTTTTGTTCATTTTTAAATATTATGGAGTAGAAGTTTATTGCCTATATATAATATTAGTAATTTACCATCTTATTTAATGAGTGTGACACAAACGATATTTCCAGTTATGTAAAACTTGTTTATGATGTATGTCCAAAGGGGAAAAACGCACGTGCACATAAGTATCAATATACCGCAGTGGATGGTTACCTTCTTTTATTACAAAAAGGATGTCTTGCTTGGTTTCCCAATCAACCATAATCTATTTCGATCTAAGAATATTATGAATATGAATTGCCAAGTAGCTCGTGACTCGATGACATGTTCGAAACTTGTTCCAATCAAGGATGTTAACATTTAACATTGAAGTATTGAACATATACTATTAGAGACTAGAAAGTACAACAAAAAAAGAATATTATGAATTTATTAGGGAAACAAAATATTTCAGGTCAATTTAATAATTTTAAAAAATTAAAATGTATCATGAATTCATTGTAAAAAATACATTTTGGAAACACTAAATCATTAATTAAAAGGTTTCCTTTGCATAAGTGGTAACTTTACATGCATTCAAATAAGGAAAATGTTTTTTTTTACTTACGGATACATAATATCTTTAATATCAAAAGGTAAAAATGATACTCCAATACAATCTCTTTAGTAATATATACTCTTAAAATAAAGGGAAATGTCCACAATATCATAAATAAATATACATTATTATTTTTAGCTCGTTTTAAAAGTATCTCTCATTCCACCCCAATTTTAAAAAAATCATCATGCTAGGAGGTCAGGGTTCCGATTCATCCCAAATTTAAAAAATGTACTACGTATATATTTCTAGTATAAAAAATTTCAGGAAATTGTTTTCAAAAATAATCTTTGTGCGACTTGGTGCCCTGACTCCGACCATGATGATCATGATTCCCCCATCCAAAAATTAGAGAAGATTCATGCTATGAATCAGACCAACGTGCTCGGCTCCGTAGTGAGCATGTTGGCATACTCCATGAAAAGTGAATACATGAACAGTGGGGAAATGAAGAAAGGAGGTGATGAAGAGAAGTCTTACGTGAGAAAGAGGGAGTTTGGGATGGAAGGGAAGAGGGGAGAGAGGGCATCCGAGAACACCGAGGAGCATCCTGTGGTCGGATTTCCTGCCGGGGAAGAACAAGTGCAGAGACGACAAGTGGGTTTTCAGCCACTGTCTCCAAGTGCGGCATTTCTTCGAGCAGTTGTTGCGCAATTCCTCGCCCGCACCAGGAACTTCTGCTAATGGCGCCAGCCGACTCATGGCAGCAGCTTCCTAATTAACTTCTTCCCCTTCAATCTATTATGATTTCTGATGTGATGATTCTGCTACTCTGCTAGTGGATTTCGATCTGCTTAGTGCTCTCACAGATCCATTATCAAAGGATGGAGTAATACGTACCCTGCTGAGCTCTGTCTTAAATTTGAGAATCTGATGAACATACATTGATTGTAGGTATATATGATGTTAGTATGGTAAGTAGTACGGATGGAGTCATAAATGAGAAAGTGCTTTCTTAAATGGAGTAGCATTCCACGAGGTGTACCTTAACCCCTGCTTCTTTACCCGCGTGCGCCACCTCCTCTTAAAAAATAAGGGAAAACTATCAAATAAGCTTCGTATTATGCTGAAAAAGTCGATTCGACACTCGTACTTACGAATAATGCTGGGACCGGTTCGGTTCTTATTCAAAATGAGTGGAACCGTTATAAAAGTTTTAACTAATGAAATCGGTTCGGTTCCTATATAAAAAATTAAGAACCGTTATGGAACCGAACTGGTAGTAAACGGTTCGGTTCTTCCTTTTACCGGTTCCTAGAATACTTTTTTCTCACTAAGAATTAATACATAATTTACTTTCTACAAACAACATAAACACTTCGAAAATTCAAAACACGAGTATTAAAAATTTATATGAAGCTCTAATCACTTCAAACATCAAAGCTCAAACCTAATTAATGAATTGTGAACACTTAATAGAACAAAAGATGATTTAAATTTTCATGTAATAAATAAAACATAAAAATCATAGTAGTGTGGGAGCGATGAAGGTTGCTCGTCATCATAGTAGCAAGAATATGACGTCTATTTCAAGTCTTTCAAAACATAAAAAAAATACATTGAGTTTGCATTGTAGTGTGGGAGCGATGAAGGTCACTCGTCATCATAGTAGAAAGAACAGGACGTCTACTTCAAGTGTGTCAAAACATAAAAAATACATTGAGTTCGCATGTATAGATATATAAAACATTGTTACATTCTATTGATTCATAATAAATCTAATAATTAGAAATATCATGAAAATAGTAAAGTAAAATATGTGCAATCAACTACAAGTTATTTGAGTTTTTTGTATTTATAAAATTTATGTGATGGAACAAAACTTGATTTGTAGAAAGGAGTTTAAGGTATTATATCAACCTCATGTACAATATTTATTACTTCGTTTTCGTTGATTAAATTAGAATTGTTAGTTAAATATCCTATATTGTTTTATTATTATTGTTGTGGTGGTGGTTATTATTGCTATTATATTATTATTATTGTTGTTACTACTACTACTACTACTATTAATATTATTTTATTTTTAAATTTTTTAATAACGGTTCATTAACGGTTCCATGCATATGTTTTTTTATAGGAACCAGGAACCGAACCGTTATAACTCGTTTAGGTTCGGTTCCTACAAATAAGGTATTAATTGTTAACGGTTCGGTTCCTAAATGTTGTTAACGGTTCGGTTCCAATCGGTTCTACGGTTCCCGATTCCAAAATCCCACCCCTAGCTTACGAACACTCAATTAAGTCATCGAACTATTAAAAAACGTTCAATTAAGCCATTTTGGTCGGTAAGTAACCGGTTTCCCGGTTAAACGGCGACGACGGCGACGATGTGTTCGAACCCCTACAACGGCGGCTGCCGGGAAACGAGTTACATTTAATCGGGAAATCCGTTACTTACCGACTAAAAGGGTTTAATTGAACGTTTTTTAATAGTTTGAAAACTTAATTGAGTGTTTGTAAAGTACGAGGGCCTAATCGACTTTTTCGGTATAGTACGAGGGCTTATTTGATAGTTTTCCCAAAAATAAAATTTCTCTTTGTTGCTTACACAAAAGGGAGGAGCCAGGGGCCGGAGTTAGACGCATTGGGCCATTCTTGGTCTACATAAAATGTACACAAAATGTGTACATTGCTTGTGTACACATGCAATTAGGGGGTTTTGACAGCAAATCCTGCTACATTTTAAACGAATTGTTTGTGTACATGCACATGCAACTAGGAGGTTTGTGTATGCTTTGTGTACAATTAATGTACACTAAGGAGATGTTTACTTCCCTGCTAAATTCACATTTACAACCTGTTTGGTAACACGAAAATCGGCTGATTTGGCTGATTCTGTTGAAATTTATGAAGTTCTGGCTGAAGTGGCTGCATTGGCTAATTTTGCTGATTTAAGAAAAAAATATTTTTAAAATATATTTGATTAATCAAATATATTTTAAATATTTTTTTAAAATATATTTCTTAAAATATATTATGAAGTTCAACCTTACTTTTTCTGCTTATTATACAATTCAGCGCGCGAAAGCCAAAGTTACGTGTTTGGTGAACAAGTTGGCTGATAAGCCTGATAAGCCGAAAAACAGTGCTTCCAAACGGCCTCTTAGAGGTGAAGTAAACATGCACGCTGCTTAAAAAGCCGCTTACTAACCGAAAGAGGTGATTAAAGTGCCGCTAACTAAGCATACCACCCCCATGTATTAATTAAGCGGCACTTTAAACTTTTTCAGTTTCCAAATTTACCCCTTGCCCTTACCTTATTGTTACCCCTCTACCCGATGCCCCCACCCCCAACCCTACTACCTCAACCCCGACCACCCTACCCACTACTTCCATCCTCGTACCTTACCCCTTACCCCTACCCTTCCCCCTACCTCGGCCCCACCCCGATCCCGACCCCACCCTATCGACATCTACCCCCTACCGCTACCCTACCTTACCTTACCCCGACCCCGACCCCACCCTACCCTACCTTACCCCGACCCACCCCTACCATGCCCTCTACCTCGACCCCACCCTATCGCCATCTACCCCTACCCTACCCTACCTTACACCGGCCCCCACCCACCCTACCCCCCACTTCGGCCCCACTCTACCGCCATCCTACCCTACCTCCTCACCCTACCTTACCCCGATCCCAACCTACCCCCATCCCTACTACCCCCATCCCTACCCCACCCTGTTATCGTGATAAGGGTAGGGTAGGGGTCAAGGGTGTGGAATTGGGGGTAGGGTGTAGGTAGGGGTATGGTAGGGGTGGGGGTATAGGGCGGGGTAAGGGGTTAGGGGTATGAGTACATGTACGAGGTGACCCCACATATTATATTGTATACTTGTGTTCATGAATGTTTGTGCATCTATATATGTATAGGGTTATTTTGGACATTTTAATGTTAAACGGTGTTTTAAACCCTGTGAAGTAAACACGATCTCACAACATTGCTTCTTTTATGCTCCGCTTATTAACGCGGGTCTTAATAAGCACCGTTTAGTAACCCGTGAAGTAAACATGTCATAAGAATTTTCCCAGGCGCATTAGGCGACTCTTGTGAAAGTTTGAGAATGTAGAGTACTGAAAAATCTCCGATTTGATACTGCATCCGTGATTCGTTCCAATATATAAGCCTTCTTTCCATTTAGGTCCGTCTTGAAAAAATGTCCTATTTCCTTATTTGTTAAGCAAAATAGTGTAAAGCAGTGTCAAACGTGTCCACTTTCTTAAATGTGTTTAAAGCCAAAAGGCTCTTTTAAATTGGGACGGAGGGAGTATATTTTAGCTTCCACAACTCATTACAAGTAAAAAAATTTAGAAATTGCTCTAGGTAGGATTAAGGATTCCCTAAAATGCAATAATAGGACAACTACATTTTAAATCCTCCCAAATAGGACTAAACATTGATTTCTACCATAAATATCCCTAAGAGTATTAATTCATAATGAAATATTTTAATTCATAATAAAATCTTAAAAACAATAAAAAATCGTATCAAAATACTACCTCCGTCCTACTAAGATTGGGACGGGAAAAGGTGACACGATTATTAAGAAAAGTATGTTTTTGTGGTTGATATTAAATTGATAAAGTAAGAATAAAGTTAGAATGATTTAGAGCCACACAATCTTTACCAAATATGGTATGGGACAATCTTAGTGGGGCTTCCCGAAAAGGTAAAATGAGACAATCTTAGCGGGACGAAGGGAGTAATAAAATATTTATAAAAAAATTAATTTTTTTTCAATTAATAAAAAATAGTAAAAACCCAGAAACAAATATGGATTCCTTTCCCACCGCCTCCCAGCACCAGCACCTCCGATCGGTGAAAATTCTTCCATTTTTTCTAAAAAATGCCATTTTTCTGAAAATGCCAAGAAAATGACATTATTACTCTTCATAATGCCAAAATTCTCTTTGAATCTGCCATTATTATGGCATAACTAAAAGTTGGCATATTTCCAACCGGTGATGGGAGCTGGTGGTGCTGGGGGTGGCAGAGGCGGAGGCGTTTTTTTACGTTTTTAATTTTTAATTTTTATTTTGAAAAACATTTTTTTTAATTTTATACTACCTCCGTTCTTAAATAAATGCAACACTTTGACTTTTACACTTGATGGATTATATGGACTCCGACCCCCCGGTATGTCGACTACTAGGCCTGGACAGCGGCCCACACACATTTAGCGGATATCATTAATATTATTGTACATTATTATTATTATTCAGATGTTCTAGATTAGCTTTTTATACTATCAGTCCATTTATGTAACTGGGTCTGTCAGGCCCATATTAGAGGCCCAGACCCGGATTTTCCCTATATATACTCCTTATAGGAGGCTTGTAACTCATATAACCAATACTCATTCTATACACATTTCCTTCTACTTCATCATTTCTGCTCCACTCTTGTTCAATTTCTCCTGTTTATACAATATGGGTATCAATTGTCCATCAACACTATTCACATGTTCTACTTTGACTACGTTTTATTTATTAATCTAATAATATTTATTTTATGAAAAAATATTGTTAAACTTGTCTCATTGTAAATTTTCATAATCTAATTTTTTACTAATACAAAATCATTTATATTAATGGTCAAAGTTGTGTCTCGGCAAGTGTAAAATGTTGATCGTTGCATTTATTTAAGAACGGAGGAAGTATATATTTTGTATTTTTTTTATTTTCTACGTTTTTTATTATTTCTTTTACGTTTTTTTTTGTTTTTTATATGATTTTATTAATTATTAAGACATTTCAAAAACTAAAAAGTTATATTTTTCCAAACACACATAAATTGTTCTACTCTTTTGTGTAAAAGATGTAGTCCTATTTGTGCTTTTTGGCCACTTTTTTCTCCTATTTAGATAATTCACTCTAAAAAAATATGACTCCTGAAAAATTAACATCATTTAAATTTGAAATGAGTAAAATTTAATACGTAGTAACTCTATTAGTCTCGTTTAAACTACCAAAGCTACATATGAAAATTGTACTCTGATATTGTTTGAAACTAAT